AAAACCCGTTTTGATCATGTAAATGTAATCTCTAAACTGCACGCGTCTAATTTTGAATATTTCCAAATTCTCTGTCTTTCCACATGTTCAGATTTTTTTATTGACATTTACTTCATAAATCTTAGTTGCCATAGTTTTTATTGCATCCTTGAAGCTTTTTCACCATAATTTCTAAACTTTTATGAATTACTGAAGTGATGAATACAACATGATGTCATTCATAAATTTGTCTTGTTTTCTTTATATTCATTTTCCTTTATGAAAAAGAAATCCTTTTTTTTGGGGGGGGGTAAACAATCAATAGACATCGATGGCCAAATAAACAATCGACATGCTGGGATCGGAATATATTCAGACACTATGGAAAAGTACTGTGTTGACATATAAAGGCATAAAACCGAACAGAAAAATGCGACTATGAAAAATAGTACGGACGCGCGTTCGTGTAAAAACAGTACAAGGTTAAAATGAAATAAAAGTATTTGAAAGTGGCCAGTAATATACCTCAGATTGCCCCACTGTGAGCATCCGGAATCAAACATGTTTAGGGCCCCTAATTAGCGACCGGCCCCGGAACCCACGCTGTACGGTACGTAAAAAGGGGTATCATAAGTCCGACGCCTCGTAGGTCCGACGCCTCATAAGTCCGACAATGGACAAACGCTGTTTCGGACTTATGTGGCATCGGAGCTATGCGGCGTCGGACCTATGAGGCGGAATAAATACATTTTATGCCTCATATAAGTCCGACGCCTCATGTCATAAATCCGAAATGAGCGGACCCCGTAAAAAAAAAGGCTTCGCGCTCCGCACTCGCATTATGAGTCCTTCTTTAGAAATGCCAGCACCCCTGGCAAAAGTTCCAGCGGGCTTGGATGACATCCGTCCGAAATGGGCGATTTTTCATGTCGTGTCGTGTGCATTACAGCCGGGGTTACCCGTCGAAATAGGTGTGTGCATTGTTTTTCGGTGTTCACTGTTCATTAAAGCACCCACCTGTTAGTACGCCCTGATTATGGTCCCAACTACTGGTGATTGTGCAGTTAAGGACACCTCTCATGTTTTACAAGTTCCGTTCATATAAATACCCTGCTCTATTTCCACAAAAGCTAGCTGATAATTGATTTAAACACATGGGACCCGTTCCTTCGAAACCTGGACAAAGTAGCAAAAGTACTTTTCCTGCAAACAGCATAAGATTGTTCCAATTGGTTTTGTCGACAGATTTTTGATGCATAACATAAACCATTCACCGTTACATTTTTCAAAAAATGAAGTGAATCTGATAACAAATGTATCCGTGAAGGTTTTAAGGTTACCATAAAAAATTGTATATCATTTGAAAGGTGATGAGCTGGAAATGTGAAAATATATTTCTCCCCGGCAACTTTGTCCTGGTTTCATATAGGAACAGGTCTTATATTGATATGGAATTTGCGCAAATCTATGAATAATTTTAAACTTAAATAATTTAGTAAGATTTTAGATTATCATATAGCAAAATATATTTGTGTTTAACTGATGGGGAAGTCCCTCAAAAGTACCTGATAATGATGATAGACGTAGTTCAGAGAATAGAAACAGGATCTTCAGCGTAACAGGTGCACAAAGGCAACCCCTGACCACCCACCAGCTTCCAGCATTCTGAAAATCTATGAATTGAGGATTTAGTCCCCGGCTTTGTGTACCACATCCAGCTATGAGCTTCCGCTTCCTGTATAACACCTGGAAAGATCAAAAATGAAAGTTTCTTCATCAGGTCGTGTTGCCTTATGTGGATGTGGTGGGGTTTTTTTTTTGAAACTCGATACAGTTTCATTTTAAAACAGTTTCGTTTATTGTCAGTACACCCAAAAGAAATACTTGCAAATCCACTGCACTTCCATGTTATAAACCATAACTAGTTTATCAGTTTTTCTAGTAATTCTTTTATAGCGACTGCCCCTTTACAAACTGTGCGCGACCTACTGCACAATGTCAGCGGGTATATTTGGCATTGCACTTTAGCTTGATCGGTTGTAAGTGCACACATTCCCCACTCCCGGATCCCCAGGGATAGCGTGCTCGAGTTACATTAACTTCCGGTTCCATTCGTGCTGTGCAATGCTACACCGTGTGAAGTACGCATGGATGAATTGAGATGACGTCACACTAACGAACCGACGCTTTGCGGCTGCCGGGTCAACGGTATAAAAAGCTGTGCGCGGAGTAAAACAAAACATAGTTCGTGTGCGATTCAGGCTGGAGAAAGTTCAGAGCATCACAGTTTCGTGGTAGTAGTACAGTACGAGTTATCGAAGTGCCAATTTGTGTTGGTAAATTCGCTCGAGTTGCGTGAAGTCAAGTTGCAATTGTCCGAGGCCCGTGATCTGGATACGTGGACTGAAGTGAGTAATTCTTAGTTCGGAGTGGTACTTAGGTCCGAGGCCGTCAGTTGCGGCTTTGGTGTTTCGTTTACCATAGCCTTCGAGTCGGAGTCACTTAAGGGGCAATTACCGTACTCCGCTTTAGCAGACTGAAACTTTGAAACATTTTGTAAAGCTATAGGTAAAGTGTATAACTTGTACCGCGGACCAGTCACAATAAATGAAACATGTATAATGGATTTTCATATGACACCGGCACGTATGCGAGGGGGTTTTACGTGCCCGGGGGTCCGGGTGTGATCAGTATCTGGGTAGCCGCGTGGGCCTTGACTAAAAGGCTGCAATAAACCAAGATCCCTGTGTTTGTCATACAAACACTCATTTCTAGTGTTATTATTAGTTTACGTAATTACGCACGATTTTGTTATGAAAGCCTTGTTGGCAAGTTTTTATTGTAATTAAGTCAATTAATTAATGTAGCCCGTGTATTGACATCATACCCATATTCATATTATTTGTTTTCACAGCTGTACCAAGAGCCAAGATACTAATTCTCGTGGCACAGAAACCCAGCCAGTGTAATATTTTATTCAAGTTAGTACGTGTTCAGGGTGAGTCCATTCATTTAGGATGCTGTTGAGGGCCGGGTGCAAAAAGAAGGAAATCTAAGTTTGACAGCAATGTTCAGCTATACTTGTCGAGCATATATTGAAAATTCAATTTAATGGTATTGGATTGACCTTTAAACATAATTTTAGTGCCAAAAACTGTTTGCAAATGCAATGTGTTTCGTTTCTGAAATGTTCATGTAGAGCTCGTTTGTCCGCTCGACTGAACTCGGAGCTTGCAGTGGGTTGAACTACGATACACCAAATTTATACATAGACCGTGGACAACAATACATACACTCCTTTTTTAGAGTGAGTAATTTTGGTGACTTGTATTGAAATCGACTTATTAACACTATTCTTG